GGAGGAGGTGGTGAAACTGGAGGGGAGGCTGGTGGTGGTGAAGCTGGAGGAGAGGCTGATGGTGGTGATGGCGGAGGAGAAGAGACTACTGGTGGTGGTGATGGTGTTACAGCCGGTGGAGGAGAGGAGACAACTGGCGGAGGTGATGGCGTTACAAGCGGCGGAGGTGAAGGTGTTACAAGCGGCGGAGGTGATGGTGTTACTGTTGGAGGTGAAGGGACGAGTGGTGGCGGCGACGGGATAAGTGGTGGTGGTATAACTTGTGGCGGAGGACGGAGGGGCGGAGTACGGAGGCGAGGTGAAGGAGAAGGCCGGGTGGGTGGCTGAAATGGGTTGTTTGGAGAATTACGAGGGAAAGGCCATTGACCACAATTTCCAAAGAGGTATGAATATAAAGGATCGCAACCCTGTGAAGATGAAGACCCTGATCTTCTTCCGCCACTGCTTCTTCTTCTACTGCTTCCTACAGCTCTACTTCTCCTTTGGCTTCTTCTCTTCTCTTCATCATTCCTAGTTCTTGCTTCCACTAATAGAGTTGAAGTGATCAAGAGCAGGGCTAACAAAATTAGAGTGACAATGTTTATTTTCATCTGGATGTGTTCTTACTGTTCTTTGAATAGTTTAATACGTGTCCTTCATTCTCTGTACAAAGTACAAAATATCATACAGGTTTATATATAAACAGGTTTGTAGACCTTATTCAAGAAATCGAATGTGTTAGTGGCACATAGACTGATCATAGACTGCTTAAATGCGCCCCATGCAACAACTAAGCAATAGTGAGTTAATGCATGCAACCATGTCACAAGTATCGATAAGATGGTGATTTCTATCCACCAAAGGTGAATTGGCCTATTAAGGTTAAGGACATGTTATAATTAAAGATTGCGTTACACTTTAGTATCAGTTCATTGTTTAACGTACTGCAAATTGAGATTTGGAGGGAGGAATGAACATGCAGACTGTAAAAGAGTTGGCAGAAAAGGCGGCAATTGAATGTTAGAATTGTCTTGTTTTATGTGCCACCTTTCAGCAAAGAGCTGATCAAGACCATATTGGTTTTGGATGCCAATCTCAATCTTCCCGCATCACATTTACTTCTCATGCAGGCCATGGCAGAGTAGAAGGATAAAGTATACCTTACGACAGTTGAAAATAAGGATACAGCGGCATCCTTATTTTGGGTTGTTAATTTCTCTACTTTGTGCGTTGGGCAGCCTAGGCCTGTGGATCTGCCCATGTAAAGCCCAACCAATTGGATTGGCAAAAACCAGAAATTGAAACTTCAAGGTGCTAGCTATTTTTGCTCTCCAATTAGTCCTTAATGGCAGGTGGCGGAGCCAAAATTTTCATTAAGGGGCATCAAAATATAAATAATTAGATACATCGAAAACTCAAGAAAAGTCAACGTATTGTAAATATACATAAAATAACAAATTTTATCTAGCAGTATAGTGTAATTTTTCAGTGAAGGAGTGTCGCTTGACACCCCTTCGTTCAATGTGGCTCCGCCACTGTTAATGGGCTTTCTTTTGAAAACATTGTGTCTTGTTTCTCATGAAAAGGAAGTCCTTCTATTGTCATCAAGATAAGCTTCTAACTTGTGTAACTGTAATGAATGTATTCTTGTTTCTCTGGTTTGTCACAGTTGGAGCGAGTAAACACCTTAGACTTCTATTTTTCCGTTGATTTTCGTTTAGAAGGACCATATATAATCCCATATCTCCTGTAAGGATAGGGAAGTACAGGAAAAAAATAATGTAGTTGTTATTGTCTGATGGGACAAACACTAAAAGCTTAATTGAACTGGTAAAGATGAGATACTTTACCAATTGCTAAAGACAAACGTCAAATAGAGCAGATACGATGCATTTATATATAATTCAATCTTTCATTTACTGAGTTTTAACAACATTTTTTGTTTTGTTACTGTCGGATATTAATTATTGTATGAAAATGATTCATATGCACTATGTGTAAAAGTTAGAGTGTCCATAACAAACACTTCAGCGTGCATTGTCAAGAAATGACTGTATGGTTGTTAGGGCCTGACTCTTTGTCATCGGGCGTGGCACGGCTGTGGTAAGGATTTGGGCGTGATGGCCTTGTCATTTGGCTTATGTGCGGGCAAAACGATCATGCGGATGACGGACAAGACATTGTCATTGAGGGCTGTTGTAGGCAAGTATTGGCCAAGGCCTTGGGACAGGCAAGGCGCGCTTGGCAAAGGCTTGACAAAGCTGCATGGGCAATGTTAGGGCGGCATGGCACGACATGCGCGCCAAAGTCAGTGGCACGGCACTTTGGGTTGTGGCAGTTAAGTGCGGGCTAAGCTAAGACAAGACGGAAATGCAGGTTGATGGAAAAGGCTTTCAATAGCTAAGGCAAAGCTATGTGAAGGAAAATACAAGCAATGGCACGAGAGAAATGAAGGTTGACATGGGCAAGGCAGAAACTCGGCCAAGGCAGTGTGCGGGCGGCAGCAACGTCGGGCATGTGCGGCAAAATCATAGGCAGCGGATGGCGGGCAAGGCATTGGCGCAGAGCAATGTCAAAATGAGCCAAGGCTGGGCGCAATGCCAGCCTTGGGCGTGAATCAACTGGCCAAGTGAAGATGGCACATGGAATGCACATGAAAAGTAGTTGGCGGTTACCTTGTCATAACCCTTTTGTCCCATGATCTGATTATGCTTGTATCATGACCCCATTTCGTGTATATTGTGTCCTAAGTAGTTGGGGATGTCAACTACATGTTAGGAACAGATTTGTCTTAGCCCGACAAGTGGCAAACGCTGTAGACGACAAGTGTCATGTGCTGTCAAGTCTAAGGGCTGTCTATATTCTGTAAATAGGGCCTTTGTGACTTAGGCAGAGGGGTGTGGGTAATTTCGTGTGAAATTACAAGTGGGAAACAAGAGTGGTACGTGAGGGTTTCAAGTGTTTCAAAAGGGGACTAAGGCTAGGCTTGGGCAGGTCTTAGTGTTGGCCTAGAACGACTTGTGTACTTTGTCAAAAGTGGGCTGTGAACGGACTGTGTTCATAGCAAAGTGAGGGGTCCTTTGTATATTTTCCATATTAATGCAAAGGTTGGGATTTTTCCCGTATATGCTTGTGTTCTTATTGAATTGCTGCCAAAATTTCATTTAAGCTAAACTTGCTGAAAATTGGCTAAGTGTTTGGGGAAGGCTGAGTCAAGTGTGCAATTTGACTGCCACGCGGGTGTGAGTTTTGACTGACCAAAAACGCCCCCGTGACAACTGGTATCAGAGCCAGGCAAGTTCGTGGCAGTGGCAAGACGATCGGTGGCAGATTTCGTTGGGCTATTTAAGAACATGGCTGGTGGCACAAATGCAGAACTGCGTCAAAGGATAGAGCAGTTGGAAGCACTCGTTGGGCAGGCTCTCGAAGTAAATGATGATTCTTCTGTTCTTGCGAGAATGGCACGGTTAGAGGCAGATTATGCAGCGAGACATGAGACAACGCTGGCAGAAATGGCCTTGGTACGCCAAGAGAAGGAAGAACTGCGTGAGGAAGTGGTTCAGCTTCGAAGGGAATTGCAAACTGTTGTCCCTAGAAGTGATGAATGCACAAAATTGAGGATTCCGGAGCCAAAGGCATATGGGGGTGCAAGAAGTGCCAAAGAACTGGAAATTTCTTGTGGGATATGGAGCAGTATTTCCAGGCTGCCCGTATGCAGGATGATGAAAAGGTGACGATCACACCAATGTATTTAACGGATGATGCAAAAGTGTGGTGGCGTACATGAATGGCAGAGGTGGAAAGTGTTGGACTGCCCAAGATCGAAACTTGGGAGATGCTGAAGAAGGAATTAAAATCCCAATTCCTTCCAACTAACTCGTCATGGGTTGCACGAGATGGACTGTATCGCTTGAAACAAAGTGGCACGGTGGCGGAGTATGTCAAGGAATTTTCATCCTTGATGTTGAATGTAAGTAATATGGCTGAGGAAGATAAGCTGCATTACTTCATGAGTGGATTGAAGGGCTGGGCGCAATTGGAGTTGAGAAGGCAGAATGTCCAAAGCCTCTCTACTGCCATTGCTGCGGCAGATGCATTGGCCGACCTAAACATAGGTGATGACCCTGCTGAAACTTCGCATTCACAGGCTGGCGGGAAGAAAGAAAACGCTAAGGAATGGAAGAAAAGTGGGAAGGGCCAAGCTGCCGAAGATGAGGGATTTGCTAAGAATGTGAGACAAGAGATTCACAACGGCAAAGAAAGGAGCGGCAAGTTCAAAGGTTGTTTTACTTGTGGGGGACCGCACTTTAAGAAGGACTGTCTGGTGCAGGCTAGAGTGAATGTTATGCTGGCTGCAGAAAAATAGGAACAAGTGGCGGAGACGAATGCCATTGTGGCAGATGGGAATGGAGCATCAGGGGCGGTGTATGTCAACAACCCCTTGGGGCTGCTTCATTAAGATGGCTCGACGAGGACGTCGATTTCAAAGGGTGCGGGTGGTTTGTTAGGGCCTGACTCTTTGTCATCGGGCGTGGCACGGCTGTGGCAAGGATTTGGCCGTGATGGCCTTGTCATTTGGCCTATGTGCGGGCAAAACGATCATGTGGATAACGGACAAGACATTGTCATTGAGGGCTGTTGTAGGCAAGTATTGGCCAAGGCCTTGGGACAGGCAAGGCGCGCTTGGCAAAGGCTTGACAAAGCTGCGTGGGCAATGTTAGGGCGGCATGGCACGACATGCGCGCCAAAGTCAGTGGCACGACACTTTGGGTTGTGGCAGTTAAGTGCGGGCTAAGCTAAGACAAGACGGAAATGCAGGTTGATGGAAAAGGCTTTCAATAGATAAGGCAAAGCTATGTGAAGGAAAATACAAGCAATGGCACGAGAGAAATGAAGGTTGACATGGGCAAGGCAGAAACTCGGCCAAGGCAGTGTGCGGGCGGCAGTGACGTCGGGCATGTGCGGCAAAATCATAGGTCGCGGATTGCGGGCAAGGCATTGGCGCGGAACAATGTCAAGATGAGCCAAGGCTGGGCACAATGCCAGCCTTGGGCGTGAATCAACTGGCCAAGTGAAGATGGCACATGCAATGCACATGAAAAGTAGTTGGCGGTTACCTTGTCATAACCCTTTTGTCCCATGATCTGATTATGCTTGTATCATGACCCCATTTCGTGTATATTGTGTCCTAAGTAGTTGGGGATGTCAACTACATGTTAGGAACAGATTTGTCTTAGCCCGACAAGTGGCAAACGTTGTAGATGACAAGTGTCATGTGCTGTCAAGTCTAAGGGCTGCCTATATTCTATAAATAGGGCCTTTGTGACTTAGGCAGATGGGTATGGGTAATTTCGTGTGAAATTACAAGTGGGAAACAAGAGTGAAACGTGAGGGTTTCAAGTGTTTCAAAAGGGGACTAAGGCTAGGCTTGGGCAGGTCTTAGTGTTGGCCTAGAACGACTGTCTTTAGATGGCCCCAACTTGGAATCCACAAATAAAGGCCCAACATACCCAACTTCATGGGTGTGCCAGAGAAAATTTGTACCAGGTAACCAAGCAAATGGAAAAGTTGGAGTTGTATAATGTGCATGTGGTCAGAGGTTATTATAGCTACGGGTTCAATTGAACTCATAACTTTTAAAGTGGGTCAAAAATTTATGTGTAAAAAATTGCTAATATTGTAAGAAATAGCGAATATGAACCCATAACTTTGAGAATATGATGACTTCAATATTAAAAATCTTAATCTTTAATCGGCAGGAGATTAGATGTTAAAAGTTCAGAAATGCGGTGTGTGTCTGAATTCTTTTCTTTATAATTTTCTTTGAATTTTGAATTCATTTTGGAAATTATGAAATTTCTAGAATCGAAGCTTAAGAATAAAAAATGCATTGACTCATAAAGTTTTTGCAGTTCAAGCAAACCAAGGTAGTAAACTGACAAAATAACTGATACGCGCGTGGGAGCAAAACCACACACAACGAGCAATCGAGCATGCGTCCCCCCACCCCTGTTCGTTCTGTTTTATTTTATTAAGCTTTTTATTTTATTTTTTCTGATTTTCGTACCTTTTTTTCCCTTTCAACAGAAGGTGAAAGTCTCCTGTAGTCCAGCAGTTATTACTGTTACAAATTTGCCATGCGATAATTACTAGTATTTACTACTACGATTATTGGATAAACACTACATAAATGATTCGTCAATTATTGCTAAGTTAAGAGGTCTATTATTGCATGTAAACGGTTTGAAAGAAAGCGACTGAAGTGATCTTCATTACCAACAACAATAAATAAAACGAGCGATTGCTAGAGCTTAACTGATGAAAAGATTTTATATTGTTAGTCTACTTAAAATTCAATTACAAGTAATTGCTTGTACCATGCATGGATTTGTAAACCTATTACAATATGCTAAATTATATCGATAGTCAGGGGCAAAGCTAGAAACTTCTCCAAGAACGTTTAAATTTGAAAAAAATAAAAAAAGATTCTCGATAAAGAATGTTTAATATATATTATACACCTTTAAAACTTAATATTTTTTTATATATTACAGTATAAAATGAATGATGGTCAATTGACCATATGATTACCTAATTACTAGACCAGAAACTATACCTAATTATCTGTAGTTTGTTTAAGTGATACGCAGCGCATATTCAAAGTTGCCAGCAATCAGCAGCTGTTGCTATTGTGGATTATGAAGGGATTCTTGTCGTCTTTCTTCAAATTGCACTAACTAGTAGCTAGAAATTAAAATAATGCATTTTTTTTCCTCTTAGTCTTGTTGTTCGTGGAGAAATCATTCATGTGAAACATTTCCCAAAGTCCATAATGAACTTGAAAAAAATTAATAAAATAAAAATTTATTTGACTTTGGGAAAATAAGTTAATTCAGTCAATAATCATGTAGGGTGGTTGTTTGGTAAATCTTACTGTCAAACGAACGTAATCTTATATTCCCTCCGGTCCAAAATAAGTGATTTTTGTGGTTGTTTTAACACATATTAAGAAATTTACTTTTTAACATTAATTAACAATGAAATTGACCATATTAACCTTTACTATCTCTTCACATAAACACTCCTAACACATACTCCAACATTAATTACTCTAAGGGTAATGTAGGAAAAATAATAATTAATTCATTCTTAAAATCTGGAAAAATCACTTATTTTGAACTACAAGAAAAAAGCCAAAAAATCACTTATTTTGGACCGGAGGGAGTACTATATTAACAGTAATAGTACTAATGTAGGTAGTCAACGCAAATCATATTGATAACTAGTATTAGGGGTAGGGTTGTACATAGGTCGGGTTGGTTCGGATTTTACAATTATCAAACTAAACCAATTGTGTCAGGTTATTAAATCTAAAGACCAAACCAAACCAATAAAACTCGAATTTTTCACTCTCGGGTTTTCGGGTTATTCGGATTTTTTCAAAACTTTTTTTCCGGTAAAATCTTTGTAAAACAAAACATATAAATTGTGCTCAAAATATTTCTTTAGTCATAGTAAGATACAACTAAATAAAGTATTTTCCAAGAAAATAATACAAAATATGAGATATGTCATGACATTATTCAAAAATATTCAACAATAAAGACAATAAAATTATGTAATATAAATATTGCTAATTAAAAAGCCATAATAAAAATAAACATAATCTAAAAGTACTAAGTCATGCTAAAATAAGTAGACTAATAAGGGAGTATTAATTACATGATTAAACGCTAAAGAAAAAATAAAAATAGGTTATGCATTTTTATCTAAATTATTGTAAAACAAAAAATAGATATTCAATACATTCTCGTTCGTAGTATTGAATTGAATGTCTTTGTTAGCATTAGTATTGGTTTGATTTTGGTTGGGACTTTTGTTAGCACTATTTAATTTACTAATGTTAAAGGCTATAAAACTTATTGAAACATTCAAAAGTTCTAAGTCCAACCTTGAAATAATATCTCAAAAGATAAAATTATGAAATCTTTTAAGAAATATTTATAAATTACATCACAATAAGTGTATTTATATTATATATATATATATATATATATGTAATGTCGGGTTGGTTTGGTTTCGGTTTGACTTTTTTTAGTTAAAACCAAACCAAACCAATTAAGGTCGGATTTTTTTCCAACACCAAACCATAGTCGGGTTTTTAGGGATATGCACATAAGGGTAAAATAGTATAAACAAATTGAATTTTTTCTTGATTACCTAACTGGACACATATTTTGAACCAAAATGAAAAAGGAAACTGATCACTTATTGTGAACCGGAGGGAGTATTATGAAACGGAGGGGTAATTTATTACTAGTAGTCATGATTCATGAAGGGCGAGATGGTAATTTCAAATATAGAAATATATTTAAGAAGTTAATAGAAAAATAATGTCAAATAAAATCATGAGGGCAGTAATAATTTCCTAAGGGGTCGTTTGGTTGGAAAGATATTATCTCGGATTAATTATCGCGGGATTAGTTATTGCACATTTTCATAGGAATAAAAAAAATATTACAATTCCGAAATAATTAATTTCATGATTAATTATACCACAATTTTCTCTTAATCAAACATGAAATAAATTATTCTAAAATTTAATTTATGATTAATTATTGTTTGTCGCTCGTCCATACGAGCCCCAACATTACAACCAAATCCCAACAGCAGAGTCCCTAGTATTAAAGTGTGTCAAAGGCCACTATCACAATCTCCAATATACAGCTACGTGAATTTCTTAACTCTGTGAAAAAAGGATTTTCAACTTTTGATAACTGCCACGAGATTGTTGTGTCTCTCTTCAGTTCCCCCCACCTTCCTTTTTAGCTTTTCCAGGTTACAAAAAGAAGCTCCCTTTTCCTTTTCCTTTTCCTTTTCCTTTTCCTGACATAGTCTTTTGTCCCTTTCTTGCATTTTATTGGCAAAAAGAAGCACAATTCAGATACCCATTAAGCACATCTGCGCTTTCCACATTTCAATTTTCAAAACTCCCATGGAGGAACAAAAAGTTTGAATCTTTCCTAAATCATTGGTTAAAAATCAACAGAGTCTTCTTTATCAGTTTTGTATGACATTTTGAAGAAAGAAAAGGAGATGAAGATTTTCATCCTGCTTATACCCATTTGGGTTTTCACTACTCCATTGTTGTCAGCTCCAGTGGATGTAACTCCCCAGCCTCCAATTACAGACCCAGTTCTTCCTACTGAGAAAGGACCCATTTTTCAAGTTCCTTCTGATAAAGATGCTCCTTCTCCTGGTAAAAATTCAACAATGCCTAATCACCATCTGGTTTTTTTAGTTTGTAACTTATGAATCTTGGGAATTGGATTGCAATTATACCGCACCCCTTTATTCGTCTATAGCATAAAATTTGTAGTCTGAAACTCTGAATGTGCAATTAGTTAAATTANAGGGTTTTAGGAATTCGCAATCGAATGGGGCAAATCTTCATTTGCTTCATTACAATAAGTTTCTCTTTTTGTAGTTTTAGTTTTCAATCAAAGCTCAAGCTCATTGAGTATCTCTGTCTTATTTTTCAAATCAGGAGTTGCAGAGCTGAAAGTAGTACACCACCAGGATTTAAATAAGAAAATTTTGATTTCACTTATTGTTGCATCAACCCTCCTTGCTGGAATTCTGCTGTTGTCAACTTGCTTTTGGATTTACAGACTAAAAATGCGGAAGAAATCCGCTGAAAAAGGCAGTCAGAAAGCAGGTAACTTTGTTATCAAGAAGTCACTGCTATGGAAGGATAATTTGAGTTCCTATTACTTACTTATAGTCGTGCATTTTCTGTATCCTAGCTTCCACATTGTTTTATTTGTCCAATTTTATAATGTAGAGTCTGCAAAGGGACTTTCTTGGGGTCCAATAATGGCCAAGTTCCCTTCTTTGAGATCTGTGGGAAGAAAAGGACTAGTTGCTGTGATCGAATACCAGTCATTAGTAGCTGCAACCAACAATTTCCAGGAACAGAATGCTCTAGGAGAAGGTAGATTAGGATGTGTGTATAAAGCTCAATTCAACAATGACATCCAAGCAGCTGTTAAAAAGTTTCGTGGTGGCGAACAGGATGCTGAAAAAGAATTTGAGGTAGTCTGATAGAATTTGACCCGAAATGTTGTTCCGTAATGGTTGTAATTATTTGGTGCTAAAAGTCATGTCTGATTGAATTTCAGAATGAGGTGGACTTGTTGAGTAAATTTCAGCATCAAAATATTATTTCGCTTCTTGGGTACTGCATTCATGCCGATGCACAATTTCTGGTGTATGAAATGATGCAGAATGGATCTTTGGAATTCCAGTTGCATGGTAAAAACTACTATTATTTACTTTCTGATATAAAGTACAAAAGAATATCAATATGATATCTGAATTGTTATTAGATTACCATAATTGAGTTGTCCTCTTGACCAGGACCTCCTCGTGGATCAGCTTTGAATTGGCATCTTCGCATGAAAATTGCATTGGATGTGGCTAGGTATTTAATGTTATGATTTATTAGTGCTAATTTTTTCGTTTTTGCCCTCAGTTCTGCGTTTTTGGAAGTTAATACTATAATTACGCTGTTGACATTGACCAGGGGACTAGAATACCTCCATGAGCGCTGTAACCCCCCTGTAATCCATAGAGATCTCAAATCGTCTAATGTTCTATTGGATTCCAACTTCAATGCAAAGGTAAACCACTAGCAATATAGTCACATAAATCTCAATTGCTTCTCCATTAGCAAACTTTTCATGTGGTCTGTTTTGTCTGAGTCGATCTGTTTTCACTTGATCAGCTTTCTGATTTTGGCCTAGCTATAGCTGGATGGAACTTAAACAAGAGCACCGTAAAGCTTTCGGGAACTCTGGGATATGTGGCTCCAGAGTACCTCTTAGATGGTATGTTAGTTCCCTACTTTCTCACAATTAGCTAAATGAAGATGGTACAGATGTTTATTGTTCGAATGTGCCTCATCACGTAAACAGTCCAAATCTTATGATTCTGTCTTCTTTTTGTGTCATAGAAGTGTCTCCCAAGAATTATATTCACTTCGCTCCTCTCAGATTAGAAAAGAATGCTCCCTCCTAGAATTCATATATCCACGTACAAAAGCATATCCAAAGAAGCACCATCATCATTGAGCTCTTGCCCTCAGTTTAGATTTTGAAGTATGGAACTCCTAGCAGACAGATGTAATTGCTACATCTACATATTTGATTTATCAACAATTAGATTGTGCGAAGAGATTAGGCTTCTCTTCTTTTGTTCACGAACTTCTCGTTTCTTTTCAAGTATGATGACTATTCTGCTTTGACTCCCTCTTGATGCACCATTTTGTCTTCAATGTTGTTTCTTTGTCACAAGATATATCTAAGATTGATATTTAAATGTTAATGTCCGAAAGAATTATCTTGATTAGCTTATTTCAAAAGCAGAATTCAGATCTGTGCTATTATTGCTTGTTCTTCCTGTAGGAAATAACATCCTAAACAGAAGTCTGAAAATCGAACATTCTTTCCCATTTGATTGCTGCATTTCAGGGAAATTAACTGATAAGAGTGATGTCTATGCTTTCGGCATTATACTTCTGGAGCTTTTAATGGGGAGAAGACCAGTGGAGAAACTAGCAGGAGCTCAGTGCCAATCTATCGTCACATGGGTATTTATGCAATTACTGCTCATACTTGAGTGTTTGCTCCTTATCTCTTCATGACTTCCTGGAATACTGATGTTTCAGTAATTCCATGACAAGCAGGCAATGCCACAGCTTACTGACAGGTCAAAGCTCCCAAATATTGTTGATCCTGTCATCAGAAACGGAATGGACCTCAAGCACTTGTATCAAGTCTGTGCACCTACCTCTTTTGTCAAATTATTACTTTCATTTTACTGCTTTAACTTACAGAATCAAAACGGATGATTTGATAGGTTGCTGCTGTAGCCGTGCTATGTGTACAACCAGAACCAAGTTACCGACCACTGATAACAGATGTCCTGCACTCCTTCATTCCCCTTGTACCAATTGAGCTTGGTGGGTCCTTGAGAGTTGTGGATTCTGCACTATCTATTAACGCATAACAAAATGAGTTGCTTCATTCAAAGTTTGCTTCGGCCTACTCTTGGTGTTACTTGTGTTCCTACGGAAACTGGTAACTGAATGAACAACTTGACCTTTCCTCTTCTTTTGTTCTATCCTGAGTTTGTTAATTGGCTAATGCAATTTTTGCTATGAATTTAGAGTAGGACAACTTACCAAAAGAAAATTTATGCTGTGTGTATATAATTGTAAATTTGAGGTAGCAAAATCTCTGATCTCACTTCAAGTTTCCTCAGGTTTTTGTCCTTTCATGGTTGTTTTCTGTATTAGAGGAATTGATGTGCTGCTATTGTAAAGAATGACTTATGATTCCAGTATTTGTGCATACAAAAGTTTGCTGTTCTCCTTATTTCTTGTCTGTGAATACCTGTTATGATTAGCTGGCCTTTTTCTCCTACCTCTTGCTGGCAGACGGTCAAAGCCTGCCTTTATCCCACCTAGTTGGGTTTCACGTGCTGACTTTTCTGCATATCCTGGCAGATAGGATAAAAATGTTGCCTCTCACTAAAGCAATTGACTTTTTATTTTGGCTTTATCTTACAGTTTCTTTTTGGCCATTTTCTACACCCAAAAAAAGAATTGAAGTGTCTTAAGTCATGAATGCCCACCATGTGTAGTATGGCCTACAATTTTTGTGGATCTGGGACCTCAAAAACTATTGCATGTGCCCATGCTAAAAATGATACATTGCCATCCTTTTTCAAGGAAGGATCCTTTCTCATCAGCCGGTTGTTAGATTGCATTGGATCTTAAATAACTCTTGGAGCCTAATTTATTAAGAGACTTTATCTATAGTATAAGTAATCTCTGGAAGTACAACTAGAAATTAGTTCTCATGGAGTTATTACCTAGGTTTAGTATCAGGTAGCTAGTTGGCAACTGACATACTTTGGCAACTCTTTATTTTTATTTTTGATTCTTTTTTTTGGCTTTGATAACTTTTATCGTCGTTGGCATATTCTTTTCCTTTTCTTTTTGTCTTTGTTGGGTGGGGTTGAGGGAGATCATCGTCGTGCAATATAACTACATGGATCACTACGTTAAATCCTAATATGGTGGGCCTGAGGGCTGCTGTTCTTCTTCTCTATTGTTGGTCCACATTAGTTTAGAATAGTAAGGTTTCAACCCCATGTTTGGTGAAATGGAAATTGGCATTCTGAAAGATGGGGAAAATAATATCCAGTTCATTGTCTTAGATAGTCACGTGATACAACTTTGGACGTATCTTTTAGTGAAATAGCATTCACCTTCAGAAAGACAAAAGGATATATAACGCTGTTTTTTACTAGTTGAAGATTTTCTTTCAGGAAAACTAGTGTCAATAACATGTTTTCTTGAAGTTTCCAGTCACAGCAACTGGCTTCCATCGGTATATCAGCTGTGTTTTATTCATAGCTGATATGGACTACCCAAAAAAGACGATGTAATATGATGGGCTACCCAACTGCAGTTATTTCTGTTGGATTTTGCATTTGTTACTGTTTATATTTGATTTACCAGAATAATAAGTAGTTTAGTCAAAGGAGGAGTCTTTCTTTAAATTTAAATTTAATTGGATAAGTTGGTTGAGATAGTTTAGGTTTTTGAATTTGAATATTTATTCTTCTGATTTTCTGCAGATTCTGTTCTTAAATTGGCTATTTAAAGCCTTGTTATGCTTAATAAAGTTATTGAGAGACATTTTCCAATCAATACTTTTAATCTTTTTGCTGCTCCATCTTTTAAAAAACCAACAATTTCTTTTGTCAATATCTATACTTCCGAATGAATTTTCCGTTTAAAGAACGGTTAAACTAAATTCCTAATTGCTTGACGACAGACGAAGGAATTTATTGTTTACATGCAAGATTCCTTTCTTAGTAACCAGATATCATTGTCACGGCAATATCTAAGGATGTCTACATTAAACGCAATAGTACTATAAAACTTTGTCCTGTTTCATTAACCATCCCACTTTAACCCTTAATTCTGCCGATTCTACTCTGATCTCTAGCACCCAAAAAGAGAAGGTAAAGATAACAAAAGCAACAATAAAGGAGAATTAGGGGTATATATATGCTTAGAAAATCATGGCCTTCTCGAACTGGATATGCAGTCGCAATACTAAAAATATGTTTGTGAAGATTGTACATCCAGGAGGACACGTAGAACTGCACGACAGGCCAATTCTTGCAGCTGAGATAATCAATAGAAATCCCAAGAGTTGGGTTTGCCATCCCAGCGTTTTCCAACAGCCGTGGGCTATTTTACCACCCGAAACCACCCTCATGCCTGGCCAGAAATTCTATGTTGTGCCTATAAAAACCATTAAAAGACTTCAATCCCTCGCCATGAAATCTTCTCCGGCTCTTATTCATAAACTTCAGAAACAATCAAGTCTTAAGGAAAACAAAACAGAAAAACAGGAAGGCAATTTTTCTAACTGCTGGTTATTCCAAAGAAATTCACCCAAAAATTCTGAGGTACCTTATTCTTCCCTGAGACAAGAAGAAAACAGAGAAGTGCAATCCCAGGGTGATAATTGCTTTACGTGTTTGTTAACAGGGATCAGGATTAATAAATCCGGTAGCGGGGAAAATGTGATGAGTAATACTGAAACAAGATCATCAAACAGTAGCTTGGGATCCTCTGAAACCAATTTTCTCAATAGAAATCAAAGAACTAATGTGGATTGCAATGAAACATCAACGGGAGTTTCACCCACCAGACTTTCCTCTTTTGATCAGTGGCATCCCAGTTTAGAAAGCATCTCAGAAGAGTGACAATGTTTTTTGCAAATGCAAAAAATTTATCAAGCGTGATTATTTTTACATGTTTGCTAATGTGTCTGTATATACAACAACAACAACCCAGTATAATCCCACTTAGTGGGGTCTGGGGAGGGTAGTGTGTACGCAGACCTTACCCCTACCCTAGGGTAGAGAGACTGTTTCCAAATAGAAACCCGACATCCTTCCCTCCAATACCCTAGGGTAGAGAGACTGTTTCCAAATAGACCCCCGACATCCTTCCCTCCAAGAACTTCCCACCTTGCTCTTGGGGAGACTCGAACTCACAACCTCTCGGTTGGAAGTGGGGGTTGCTTACCATCAAAGCAACCTCTTGTGTGTCTGTATATGTCTTTGTTAATTTCTATGAATGTAAACAAAACAAACAAACAACAACAAACACAGTAAATTTCTACAAGTAAGGTATAGTGTTAGCAAGCCTTACTCCTATATTAGAAGAGGCAAAGAGGCTATTAATGTTAGGACCGGAAAAAAATCAGGTGTCATGCGGAAGCCAGTAAAGCAAATCTTGAATGACGATTAATCAGATAACAAAAGAGAAATATATCAAAAGAGACGCGTTCAATTGGCATACGTCCACGACGGAGATGAGTAATCCACTATATAAAAGAGAATACAAAATACTGAGAGAACAACCTCACAAAGAGGTAAACACAAGTGACATACTAACACTTGTCCCGAAAAATTCTTCCACTAAACAAAATTCTCAAACCCCTTATGGCTACAATGTAGAAATTGTCGAATAAGAAGGAAAGATCCTTAATTTATAGAAATCCAAGCATTTCCTGTTGGGTTATTAAGCTTAATATAGCTTAAAATAGGGTGAATGGAAAATGGAGGGAAAATAAAATATTTGAGTTTCATTTGAGATTCCCTCCTTGATGAAGGGACATTGTCCCATATTGGAAGAGGAAGAGGTTTTTAATGAGTATATAAGCAATTGCTCTTCTTCTAGCTCTTAAAGAGTTGAGAAGAAGGCAAGCCTCGCGTCGCCGCCGTCGTCGCTCGGCTTCGGCTTCGAGTTTCATTTGAGATCCCCTCCTTGATGAAGGGACATTGTCCCATATTGGAAGAGGGAGAGGTTTTAATGGGTATATAAGCAGCTGCTCTTCTTCTAGCTCTTAAAGAGTTGAGAAGAAGGCAAGCCTCGCGTCGTCGCTCGCTCGGCTTCCGCTTCCGCTTCGGATTCGGTCAATTGATTGTTTAATTTTTTGGACCAAATTTATTTGTTAATAGTAAATATTAACAGAAATGTTATTAAATATCCTTTTTAATAACAGAATATTAATATTAAATCCAACAATATTAATATTAAATCCAATTCCGTTATTAGTTTTCCGTTTTTCAGTTTTGTAACTGAAAATTAACCTCCATCTTCAGTTCTCCCGGTTTATTGTTGAGTAAATAACCATTTATGTTATGACATTTATGCTATGACTGTTTTGCATAAACAACCATTCTGAAGAGTTGCACCTCTTCAGTTTTCAGCCCAACATTGGCTATAAATACATGTCCATTCTCTCAGAATTTTCATACTATTTTCTAAGTTCTTCTCCTTTCTTCTGCATTGTTTATCTTCAAAGAAAACAACAGTAAGTGTGATTTGCTACCGAACTTTGTGTTCGTTGAAACATTAGGGTTTGCAGTACCGCTACACTAGTATATAATTCATTCTATCTTGGGAGGAAATAATTTATAATCTTGGGTACTAAGAGAGGATTAAATTCCTTAAGGAAACACTGTGAATTCAGTGGGTTCAGATTAACTTTTGTTTATTTACATTTTTTGTTTATATTTTATTCTGTTTTTTCCAAAATTAGTTTACAAATACAGATTGATAACATTTCCCTCCAAGAAAATGGACTAGCCAAATTTGGGAGATTTATAATTTTCTTCCAGGGGCGGCCCAACGAGTTTTGTGGCCTAAAGCCAAATTTTATAAGGGGCCTTAATTTTTTAAATCTATTTTTCTAGCTTTTTTTTTTTCAGATGCAAAATTATTAATAAGTTTTTATAATTATTTTCTCCTAATAAGTCTTTCTCAATTGACAATATAACTAATCCATTTAACCTCTTTTGAGATATTGTTGAACTTTGGTAAGATTTTATCAATTTTAATTTTTGAAAACTTCTTTCCACTGAAGCAATGGTAACATGAGTTATTAACATTATTCCATAAGCAATATAGGCATTTGAAAAAGAATCAAATCTTTTTATTTGATTGAGTGTATCAATTAAACTACTATTTTCTAATTGTACTATTTTCCTTAATACTTTTAATTCAAAAAAATAAATCTAAACCATCAATATAAAATTGATTATTATGCTTTAAGGAACATTCAAGATTAAAGATAATATTTTTTTTTCAAATTTCCATCATCTAGTGATCTTAGTTTTTACCACTAAATGGAAAACCAAAAATATTTTCATATGCTTCGAATTGTTCAAATATATTTTGAAGTGAAAAAGTAGCCTTGTATACTATATAAAAGTAATCAATGGTTAACGTAGGAGACATCTCTATTTTTTCCCCGGGGAATCCCATTGCTTAACTTTCAATTTGCCAATGACCATCAAATGAAATGTGAATAACCCGTCCTCTAAAGGACTTATCGAAAGATCTGGAGATTTCATTATCAACATCCTCATCAAATTGTTACTTCATATATATCACATGTTTCATACGAAATTCGAGTTCGATATTTATTTCAAGTGCAATTTTCTTTACAAAAATCATAGCAGTTGCAAATCCTTCTTCTCTATATTTGTTAAAGAAAGAAATCAAACTTTTTCACTTCACAGATTGTTTTTAAACATATACATAATCTATTAGGTGTAACAAAAAATGAGGCTTCCATAAATATGGGGCCTAAAGCAGTTGCTTTATAGAAGGATCGCCCCTGTTTCCTTCCAAGAGAAAAAAACTCAATTATAATAAATATGTTATTATTTCTTTCAAAAAATAAAAAAAATAAATATGATAGGAAAATGAGTACAAACGCCTCATAGTTAATTCCCATGAATGCAATTCTCACAAAGAATTTGAAAAAGAATTTTCTTAGCTTAAACATAGAGTATGAGACAAATTTGACAAGGAAATCATATCTCATCTTTTAACCGAAAGCTGCGGCTAGAAATTAATGGACGTCATAAATGCAAGACGAGCCTAACTTTAATTGATTAGTTAATTTTAGCTTTCTACCTTCTATTCAGTTAAACTACCAAATTTGTGCAACTGTTCAATAAATAAGATCCTAAATAGTTGCACACTTATTAAAGAACAAGTCCAAAGACTGTGACACGATAGCACCCAATCCAAAAATATAGTATAAGAATAATAGCCCGTTTGACAAAGCCGTAAAAATCAGCTTATTTTGAAAAATGCTTTTTTTTAAGAGTGACTCAAAAATATTTTTAGTGAGAAATAATTTGTGTTTGGCTAATTAATTTGAAAAACACTTCTGAGCAGTAATTAGTATTTGGCCAAGCTTTAAAAAATTGCTTCTAAAGTATATTTTTATCAAAAGTATTTTTGGGGAGAAACTACTTTTTTGTGCTTCTCAAAAACTGCTTCTGATTCTCCTCAAAGCATTTTTTTTCTTTCAGAAGCTTGGCCAAACACCTCAAATTAAGGCCAAAAGTGCTTTTGGCAAAAAAAAGAAAAAACACTTTTGGCCAAAAATAAGCTTGCAAACAGGCTATAAAACATCTTAACCAAACTCTTCCTCCTCCATACGCCACCGCTAATACTGTCATCAGCCCTCAATACAATTATAACTCTATATTTGTGTTGCATATTGAACTGGTAGTAATTGATGAATTGGAGTTTATCAAAAGATTTGGATTGGATGTTTCTGGAACATGACGGAATATGAGAAAGCTCAAAGAGTTCTTCAGCGGCTTCGAGGAGGATACACAACGGATATGGTAGAAAAGAAAGTCGCTAAGAGAGGAGAAGATGATTCAGACTCTGCTTTTCCAGTTGTCCGTAGCAGTGAAACAGTACCCGACCCGAATATGTTTCGCCCGCTTCGCTTTGATGGGGCTGCCATGGATGGGAACTCCAAAGGCAAAGGTAAGAACTCTTCATTTATTATTAATTTATTATTAATGGGGCTATTAGTTTATGTTAATGTGTTTGATTAGACAGTTTAAATATTTGATTAGGCACAAAATTTATAAAAATAAAAATATTTTTTTAAAAAAATTTGTGGTTGAAAACCTATGTCATTTATTAAGTAATAAAATGAGAATATTAAAGTTTATATTTTGTAAAATATAAAAGGATAATGTTATTTTGGGGACAAACAAAAAAAATAAGCGTGACCCATAAAATTGGAGAGAAAAGTTTCACTTACCTCTTCTTAAACCAATTATTTAATTAGTACGTTATTAATTAAAACTATAAGTTTTATAGAAAATAATAAAATGAATTTTAATTTTTTCCAATGTCAGATAATTTGAATCAAAATCAATCTATTCACTAGATGCTTTAAAATTGTGAAGTCAATGATATTTGTAACTCAACAAAAATCATTCTCCCATTCAAAAGGTTATCTTATTCAGAAGTTGATGTTGTCTATTCTATTCCCGTTACTTGTCAATGAGAGACAGAACATTCGAAATTAACAAGCAATATTATGAAATGAACTCTCAAATTTTCATCACAGTAATAAGTTATTGCAAAATCTCAAAGCATAAACGGAAACTTAAATATATTATAATCTTAAGCGAGACAATTGGTTGTTATAAGTAAGTGCAAAAAGTATATTTGATTTTTTCTAATAGCGCCTATTATCACGTCCTTAATCTTGAACTAAGTTTATGTGCGGCACTTGACAACTTGCTCACGATCCTGTTTTGCCAAGTCAGCCTAAAATACTATACTCAAGACTGCTAAGGGAGTATTAGATAAGAAAGACAAGAGAAATTTGCCAAATGAAGCTTTTTATTATAGAGAATTTGATTGTTTTGCTTGATGAGTTACAAATGAATATCCCCTTTATATACTAGTCCCCTAGGAGCTAGTGAGTAAATAAAAATTATTACACAGGTCCTTTATTATTTACAAGTCATTTCTCTAAAATTTTCTATATAACTGGAATCTTCTAAGGACTTTCCTAGCTATTTTCTAGGGTTCTAAAGTCTTTCATGAGAATCTTTCATATTTCTCTAGAACCTTCACACATGTGCTAGTCTATTTCATATGTAAGCTTTTCATATGGCAAAAATATATACCAAGTGATACCTACGTGGCATGATAATGTGGCGGGCCATGACACCATGCTTTTGCGTGATAACTCTTGAAGGTCAGGGCTCAGCAAAATCACATTTGTACGAGATTTGTGCAGTAAATCATTGGAAAGCGCCATTATTTGAATGTTGCAACGAGGAAGGTCCAGATCACCTGAAGTTGTATGTTCATTCCATTTCCAATTCAAAAGCAAATTCCTAGTATAGTACTCTGTTATTGTCAGCACATTTATAGATTTTAAACGTATAACGAGTAGTGAGAAGGAGAAGCTAAATGCAGGTTCACTTTCAAGGTATATGTGGAAATAAGAGGACCACGTACAACAACTATAGAGTGTATGGGAAATCCACATTCAAAGAAGAAAGCAGCAGCAGAAAATGCAGCTGAAGGAGCGTTGTGGTTTCTAAACAAAGCTGGTTATAGGTTGAAGAAGTACTAAATTAACTTCGTTTTTTTAAAGGGTTAGTGAATTGTGATTCCAGTAAACAGAATGTAAACTTAATAATAAAA